ATGAAAACAATAAATTATTGAATCTGCTTACCTTAACACTTTGTAGTAAGGTGAAAATACGCGGGGGACAAATTAGTTGTATAGGGGAGAATATGGCTGTAGGGGAAGGTAATGGTTATAGGGGAGCGATATGTGTGTTATAATAAATATTGGAGATTTCCGCATATGATCGCCCTACTACTATGTTGTACCTAACTGTCTAATGATATTTAAATTACCTACTTTTATTATATAAACATTTAAACACTTACCTCACTGTAGCTGGTTTTCTTTTAAGTGGTTTGTGGTTCTTCGGGGTCGTGTTCGACAGTCGATATCACGATGACAATATATGTATATTATTTTATGTGATCTATAGGTTTTCGTATATAATTTCTACCTGTGACCGTCACCATATATATTCTCAAAATCCTTACATTCGTAACTACGTATACTACGTAGTATACCTACGTATACTCTCTCCACTAACCGAATGTAATTTAAGTTAATTGAGCACTTACTTCTATACTTATATTCTAATGTAGCTCTTAGAATCCCTACACTCGTGGCAGCTAGTACGTATAGTCCAACCGTCGACCGAGTGTAATTTAAGTTAATTGAGCACTTATTACTATACTTATGTTCTAAAATATAAATGTGTAGTAACGATGTGACAGACCTACAATATGATGACTGTCACAGAACCTTATGTTTTGAAAGACCAATGGATAGGTTAGTGTAAAAAGATGAACAATTTTGATTTAACTGATAAAGAGACAACCAATTTAGACAGACATACCGGGTGAAGGAATGGTTCAATATACATATATTGTATACGCATAAACGCACAGTGATGGCTTGGACAGCAGTGGAAAAAGATCGTGATGTTGACTGGCGTGGACCTTGTGCATCTCCGGAATAGACACTGGCATGGAGTCGATATCTAGCGAAACCACAGCCGCCTACTGTGAGTTTCGCGACCGTGGACGCACGGTATAGATCGCGTCCTCGGGTTGCGGATAGAGGAAAGCCCGGTTCCCTCGGTAGCTTCCGAGTCGGGTAGCTGGCGAATAACTAATAACCAGCCGCGGACAGCTTCGATTAAATGACCCGTAGTTCCGGACAGTATGTCCTCTGGGCCGGTTCACGGTCGCCGGCTGGGCAACCGACCCAGGCGGTGGTGCTCTCAATATGAGTTGAGGGCACGGGCGCCGGAGTTCGCTCCGTCCAGCAGCCGGGCGTCTCAGCGTAAGCCGGGCTTGGGCATGTCTCCGGGACACTGCGGTGAGTGTTACGGGCTCGCGGCTGATGGCTCGTCTGCTTAGAGTCCCTAATTCGGTAGGCGAGGGTGGTCGTCGCAAAGTGTCCCACCTTTGACTGAAAGGTAGGGCTGTCGTCAGCTTGGGCTGGGCGCCTCAGCTCGGCAGGCATCCGGGTCGGGACGTTTGGTCAGACTGACCCAAGGATACGGGTCCTTGCTGATGACGGTTCGAAAGGGTGGTGGCCGAGATTAAATTCGCACCCCGCGGACGCTCGTCTGCGGTTAAGGCAGACCAATGCCCGTCATGTCGGACCAAAACTGGTAGCTTTCGAGGGGGCGCAAGTGTGACTGAACACGCTTCAGTGCCACGGGAGTGAGCGGGGCCCCGTCGGCTACGACGCCGCTCACCGCGGGCGTCCAGCGATGGTTCACGCCCCTGGACGTCCGTTGCCGGTAGGAATCGTGGTGGCGGTTTTCTTAAACGAATACTTTGTGGTTAAGTCAACAGATGCTTATTCTAAGTTCTCGCTGACAGGCGAAAACCTCTGATGAATGGCCGTCACGACCCGTGGGCGCGAGTCACCGGTTCGTGGTCGGTTCCTCTCGGGCGTCTAGCCGCTATACCGGTGTAGTATCATCGGAGGTTGAGTGTAACCAGAAACACTCGGTGTGGGGATAGCGCACAGCCAGACCAGGCGAATTCAGGCGGCACTTGGCCAGTATTCTTGGTACGGGACCTCGGTTCCGGTGCTCGTGGTCCGTAGACGACGCGCGGTCGGCGGACTGGGCCACCGTACGTCGACCGTGAACCTCCGCGGCTCTCGACTAGCGCACAGCGCTAACGTGAGGTCCGCGGTTGTAGCCGCAAGGCGTCAAAACCCGGGAGTCTTCGTGGCATGGAGTCGATTTTCTGTGGCCCTTATATATGATTTTTGTTGATCCCTTCTTCTTATGCATGGATTAAAGTATTGATATATTTTTATTATTTCGTGTGGTGTGACAACGGTACAGCTGGTAATTTATAGTTTTGTTTTGACCGAACGTCTTGATTGGAGAATTATCGAAGGGGACTTGAAGTATATAATATATATATATGTGTACGTACACGTGTGATGTACGTATATGTATATGAAAGAATGCTTTCATGATTTTATAATATACGGTGTTTACTGGCGCCGTTGATATTTGATTGTGTTGTCTCCACTAAATATCTGGTCGGAGAGGTGTAGAATATTATTTATGTGTTGCAGGTGCTGCGTGTATGTAAAAGAAGTGCGTATATTGTAGGTATATATGTGCCTAATGCGTACGTATATATGCATATCGGACCACCCACACTCCATAATATGGTCCGTTTTCATTATTTGTCTCGTGTTTTATTTTAAGTCTAAATATTATATATTACAACTTCATTTCCGTCCTGTAAGGCCAAAGTAGCTGCGTCATGTCCCTTGTAGACATATTTATAAATGTACTTTACAATCTTAATGGTGGAGCAAACCTCAACATTGATGTGAGCGTCATATTTGGCCAGTAGATATGGGTTGTATGGAACGACAAACTCGTTACCGACCTCACGTTGTGCGACAAGGGCCTTAAGACCATTGTTTGGACGGCGGTATTGTGGGTAGCCGCCGTCAGAGACGTATACAGTCTCATCACAGTACTGTTTCGGAAACTTCTTTAAGCAATTGTTGTCATTCATACATGGACTGTCGGGGTTTAGTTGACCACACGGTTCGTGAATCATGTGCGACGTCATGCAGTCAAACAGACGTCGATCAGTCTCCGGGTCTGGCAAGGAGGCGCACACAATGTTGTCGACGTCCTGTGCGTCGAGCAACTTGCTGTCCTCCCCGAGGATGATGAGTATGTGCGCGTGCGGTAGACCGCGTTTCTGGAATTCAACAGTGTATACATAAGCATTTACATTACCAAAAATCCTACCGACTGTTATGTCGTGCATAAGAGCCTTAAGTTTGACGTGGAAGACTCTGGCTACCAGGTCAGGCCTGTCGTTCGCCAGAGTGTATGTCCCTAGGTTTTCTGTGATCTCTGGCCACCTAGGATTGCATGTAAAAGTAACGAAGAGATCAGGCTTACCGAATTTTCGCACAATGGAAATAGCGTCATGATAACAGCCTTTATTGTACCGGGGACTCCCGACGAACGTCGAAGGTAAAATGACTCTACGGCCGACGGCCAAGGGGTTAGCTGGCGCGTCCAAGTGGAGCTGTTGGTTGACGTGGTCCACAAGGCCTCGATACGCTTCTGCAAGGAGCGTACCCTGATTCCGAATGATGTAGTTCAGATTGTTTGATTCCATTCTAACATATAGATCACACACGTACATCTGTAACAAAAATCCATTTCTGTGTAATATACTAAACTGGTTGTTATGCAAGTTGTTATTTCCTTGGTAACGAATAGCCAATCTATAGCAAGCATACTCTCGGATAGTATTCCGTGTGCTGACCGCGTTGACGCGGTTGCCGCGCTGCACCATGTTGTCTTGCCAACCGCATTCACCGTATGGGTACAACACTGGATAGAGCATTGGATCAGCGTGACGTGATCTTGCAGATAAGTTCTGCATCCGGTGATGAGCGTTGATTGGATTCCTGTTGTACATGACCAGATTGATGTCCCTCGGCGGTCTGCCATCGTCACCGACGAACACAGCTGCAACTTCATCTGCTGTGGGTGGACCGTAACGCCGTTGGTCTCTGGCTGTGTCGGCGACGAAATGTATACTGACTGTTCTTGGTGCCACAGCGGGATCATTTCTAGCTCGGGCTTCTTCATCTGAGCACAACTGACTCTTGTTCCTATAAATATATTATTTAATTACAGTAAAGCACATAACATATAGGAACAGTACAGTCATATAAAACTTAGTTTATGTCAGTCATCATTATGTTCAGGTGTTAGTTATATAATTAAATTATATTATAGTTTGTATTTAGTTTTTTTGAATTTTGTTTTGTATGATGTGTAGTACTGCAGTGTAATAATTATTGCACATATATTTATATAATAACTGGAGGTATACAGAACTACACATAAAAAATTAATGAGTAATAGTATATCAATATGGTAAGGCCTGGTCATTGTAAAGTTTATATTAAGTCTTATTGGGGTGCTATGTATGTGAATAAAATGAACGATAGTAAAGTGTAATATAATATAGTGTTTAAAAATTAATAATTATGCTCAAGCTCAGTGGAATAATGTTAAGAATATAGATAGAAATAATTGAAATTATACCATTATACAATATTATTGTAGTGTTTATTGTTACTATAAAATTCTAAACTGGTGAATATACTGTTTGAATGTTATGAAAATAAATAACTTAAGTAATTTATCAATTTGTTCTATAGTGACCCTTTTTGTAATAACCAATGAGTTTAAAAACAGTTTGTAAAAATCATTAATTTATTATTCGTACATATTTTGTACATTGATTAGCTTTTGAATACTGTTTGTAAGCCAGGCGACAAAAAGTTTTTTTTATGTATATATGTAATGTAAGAATATATCATAAACAGAACAATATTATTGTCATTAAATATTTATATTATAAATAATCAACCTACACTCAAATGATAGATGGAAGTCACCACTTTTGTGTGGTGTTAATTTACAATTAAAATTGTTGTAATATTATGAAAATTCTTGGAGTGTGAAATACATGTTGTTATCTATTTTTACATTAGACCAATTTTAATTCAAAATGAAATAATTTTTAGTTAACAGTTTAATAATATGTTGTGTACTCACAAATGTCATATCTCTTAATTACACCTAGTCGGTTTACAGCAACATTGCCTCCTACTTGATCATGATATTGTACGGCTTCTGGTAATAACTCAACTGTACTTGGAAAATCATCATTCTTCAATAAACATATATTGTGTAATACACAGCATGCTATAATGTATTTTGGAATGAGATCCACACGCTCCATAGCAAGTGTGGTGAGGAGACTGCGAAAACGCCCTTTAAGCAATCCAAAAGACCTTTCAATTGCCATTTTTGCTGATGAATGACAAAAATTGAAGTTTTTCTGTTTTTCGGTGAGATGCCCATTGTCACGGTAAGGTACTAATAAGTGTTCTTGCAATGTGTAAGCTGCATCACCAATAATATGAGATTTGTTTAAAAATTTGCTAGGGTTGTGAATGTCTTCGTTTAAATAAGATAAGCGAAACACTCGTTGGTCATGAACTGATCCAACGTTTCCAGCATAACAGTGAATAAATTTACACTGATGGTCACAAACGGCCTATAAAAACATATTAATATCTATTCAATTTTAATGATTAAATTGTTATCTAATTCAACTACACAAACCGCCTTATACACAGCCATTTAAGTGTTACTTAAAATTAATTTAAGGGTCACCTAAGCAGTCACAGGCATAACTATGGGAGGGGGGACTTGGAGGAGGGGAGCTGAGCACCCTAAATTTTATTTTAGCTCCTCCTGTCATAATTCCTATATTCCTACCAACGATAGCTATATTTATAATTTTTTATTTAAAATATCACTTTATTTTTTTATATAAAAAAATGTGTAGTTTTTACTACATACCTACTACATAGAAGTTGTCAATAAAGTAAATACAAAAATAGTCTTCAACCAGAATAATGATTTTATTTTTGTAGCATTGAGGTAGGTATACATATACATATGATTAACGACTAACAATTGACCGGACGATGATCTTTTGCTCAGAGATCATGAAAACTCATTGAATTATTTTCTCCTCTACAATTTTACAAAAGATACAGTAAGGAAGCTTTTATAGGAACTATTTATTGTACTTCTGTATATATTTTACATTATAATAATTATACAGTGAAATAAATATTTTTTAATAGATTCAGTTGTACACATGTAGCACATTAAGCACAAATTTAATGTATTTTTAACTATATTTTTTAATTTGGGTTCTCCAAAGAAGTTGTTATGGATATTATTATGCCATTTATTACTATACATCGCAGTAATAACTATTGTGGTTTGCCAATCCACCTATTCTTCAACTCTAACATTGCTGTTTATTTTTTCAAAATATAAAAATTTAAGATTTAGTTCAGTGTTAAAGCTTGATTGTTAGTGGCAATTTACAAATTAAGATTCAACGAACAACTGATAAGTGATAACTCAGATCAAAAAATAACGTAACATACTTGAAGTTGAATCGAATGGTGACCTTTCCTGTTCACGTAAGACTCTGGATGATCATGAGGTGCAGGAATATTAATATGGGTTCCATCTATTGCACCGATGACATTAGGAAAGTTACTGGTGGCAAAAAATCCATTTCTAATGACCATTGATCTTTCCTCATTAGGCCAAGCAATAAAAGCCGGTGCTAGAATTTCTAAAGCATTAACCACTCTTCTCACACATTTCAACGCAGTTGCCCTCCCTACATTGAATTTTTCACAAATTGACCTGTAAACTTATATGAGGTAAAACAACTACCTAGTTTGAAATTCTAATAGTAACTTAAAAAACGAACCTGTATGAATCTGGGGTTGCCATTTTCCAAATTGCTAAAAGCAACTGCTTATTAGGTTGAATAGTTGGACAGCCAGGTTTTTTTCAAACCAATTTTGGTGCAATTATTTTCAATATGAATTCAAACGTTTCAGGGAGCATTCTATAAATTATATATATTAATAATTTTAAAATATTATGAGTAAAGTTCTGATGCTTATAGGTAACCAAAATTAAAGTAAAAACCGGAAATGGGATTTGAATTGTCCATCGTCAAACTGAGGTACAATCTTTTCCACATAATTGTCCATTCTAGGTATTGCATTTTTGGCAGTCACAAACGGCACTGCAAGTTCAAAATCGTGGTCATCGTC